CAGAAAATAACCATAGGCATATTATTTTTCCTCACCTACGGTGATTACAATAGTGTTCAGTTAAAAAAATGTATTTCGTCAAAATGTTTTACATCTAATTAGACTCAATTTTTGAAAGGTTTACAAGAAATTTGGGGAAAAAAATTCTAATTATAAAACTTACAGTAAACAGTCAAACACATATAAGTATTTTAAAGGCACATACAAATATTATTTAAATATAGTAAAAAAGTTACTTGTCTATTTCTCAAGCTTTAAATTCAAGTGGATATGTTTGATATTTTTCTCTCTTCTTTTAAATTCATTTGCTTAGAATGGGTTACACTTCTTTTATGCATTTATCTACTTAAAACATGATGCAATTTTAGTTTAATCAACCAAATTAAGTGGAAAAGTACATCGGCGTCACTCAACTGCACAAATCCCAATTCATCTTCGAGGTTGAACTAAATAGAATTGTCAATGTTATCAGTTTATTTTCATTTATATAGGTATAAATCTTTAATTTTTTTTTTTTATTTTCTTTTTTTAGAGTACGTGTATGAGCTCCATAACACATGCACCATTCAAATCAAGAGTACGATTCGAAAGTAAAATATTAAGAATATATCTTCTAAATCTCAACCAACCCCGATATATCCCTAGGGCCTATAGTTATAAATCTGAACTTTTATATCAATGAACTGTAAATATGTGGAGCAAAAAAGTAATTTATAGAAGCTCGAACAAATAGAATAAGTTAGGTATTTAAAGTTGGTGGTCTCACAAAATATTATCATGGCTCTGCATGATTTTATGATATTATCACATAAAATCAACAAAAATATATAGTAATTAAAGCCAATGAATCTCTCTTTGTTTCTGCCCCTGTATTTATCAGAAAAAAAAAAAAAAAAAAATCCAAATTCTTTTCCTTCATCGATCTATACAATCATACTAAATAAATAATCCAAATTCTCAAAAAATAAAAAAGAAAAAAACAATGCATCTCTTCGTATAAAATAGGAGAAAATGAAGGGGAATTTTGGGATGTTAAATAATCCAGTAAGTTAATAATTGCCAACAAAGGAAGCTAAACACGAGGGTAGATAAACTGAAATGTATGTCCTAAAAATGTCATTGAGCATAAATCAGATCAAAATTATTAAAAATTCAATTTTGGATGTAAAAGAAAAGTAATTTTATTGGTTCAAGGTTCCAGAAGAAAAAGGAGAACATGAACTCCTAATGATCAACCTAAATAAAAGGCACCATTTAAATGACTTTTGTCAAAGAGTTTGTATTGCATATTATAGAAATAAAAATTATAATAATATTTTTATTTTTAACTTTTTCGGTAAATTGGAGAACGCTGATAGGAAGAGTCAGACAAAAGAAAAGGAAAAAAGAAAAAACGAAAAAGAAAAAAAAGAAGAGTTAGAAAGATAATAGAATAAAGAAAAAAGTAAATTTATTATTAAAAATTCAATATAAAAAATAAAAAAAGTCTGAAACTCCAAGTACTTTTATTAATAGTACAATATATATATTTATATATTTAAAATAGTATAAATAGATATATAAATGTATTTTAAAATTTACTAGTATCTAGAGAGCTATTCCACCAATATGCATTGCCTTATAAATATAGCATAAAGTTTCACTCTTGGAGTGTAAAGAGATAACTACATGGCCTATCATATCTTAATTGCCACACTACTACGTACAATATCAAGAATATGAAGAAAAATTCACTCAAATTGGCTTTCTTAGCCGTAGTCTTGTTTGCTGTATTTGGTATATCTTTTTCTTTATGTGTCTATATAGAATAATTGAGTTGCAACTCGCCCCTCCTCCTCTTCCTTATCATATAAAATAATAATCATCATCATTTTCTTTATTTTTTTTTAATTATTTTTTTCTCACCTTTTATACAATATTATTATTGTTATTACTTTTTGATTGTTATAGATGTATATGCCACCTAAACTCGCATTCATGCGTCGATCGGGGTTGAGTAACTGATTTTAACTATCTTCATGTGATGAAAACTAGCAGCTTCTGGTTTGGGAGCTGAAACAAAAAAGCAAAAAGTAGAGCAATGGAGTCATTCCAACCGACCCAAGTTTGCAGGCGATTCGGCCACAATTGGTCATGACTGTCTCTTTAGCTGGCAATGCTATGGTTACTGGAGCAGGCATTGTGATCATAAAAAGTGCATTTCGATTATTTGCGAAGCAGTGTGTGTGTGTTTGTGTTGGGCAAAAATCTGTCGGATCACCTGTTATTCTGAATTAAATTTCCTAGTGTGTAAAAGAATGATAATTTTATATTATCCATTGGCCAAGTTTAAATTTAGAATGAAGCCATAAAGTTTATATATAATAAAATGCTACAGTTACAATAATTCTATGTAAACAGTTACTTCATAATGTTACAGTAAAAAAAAATTAAAATATAAAATTTCTTCACAGAACCATGTAATAATTTTTTTCATAGGAATTAAGTGGGTGTTGTAAGCTTAGTTTGTCTCCCTCAAAATTTAAAAATAAATAAATAAAAAACGAAGAGTTTACTTGACCTCTAGACTCTAAGAGTAGAGGAAGAGAGTGTAACACATGATTTCACTATAAGTGCAACCATCAATTTTAACAGTACTGTTTCCATCTTTTACTTTTATCATCACCCATTCCATTTTGATACATATATATCTATTATCTATTTCTGGGCGGGCTGTTAGCTTTCACCTACGCTACAGTTTCACAAGATTGAACATTTTTTATTCAACAAGTGTACGTAGTTTCTCCCTGGGCCATGACTCCGTTAGTATGAGCTCTCTTCTCCAAAGATATGGAGGGGATCTGTGCACAATCCGACGACTCTAAAGGCGAAAAATGCTTTATTGCTCTAGTTGTATTGATGACAAGTGATTAAAAAATGACATTTAGTACTTGGACTCATTAAAGTAAAACACTTTCAACAAAATATAATTAGTTAATGGGATAATGCACCGGCACAGAAGCCGGGTTGTGCTCCAGGTGTAACACACATGAACGAGGTACCGTTTTGGTGTCTAGTTGCACTGGATGGTACGTGCAAAAATTTATTTATTTAATTTCCTGGACGGTATGGTGCACAAATTTCTCCGCGGAAGAAGGGACCCTCTTCCCAGATGAACAGTTTTATAATAGCTTTTCAAGGAGACGTGAGCTGGTTTTAGCCGCCACACATAAAGTAATGAGTGTCCTTGTGCTTACCTTAAAAGTAAAAAACTCCAAGTTTAGTATATATATGCTAAAAGGACTACATCATTAGATTTTGATTTTTTGTTTGGTTTAAAATTTAGGATGTAGTATGCAAAAAAAAAAAAAACAAACAGAGGGCAAATTGGGATTGCATAGAGTTTACTGAGATTAATTAATGTGTTGATAAAGTATTTTTTGAAGAAAGAAGGGAAATTGATTTTTCTTTTTGTCATTTTTTTTTTTTTTTTTTTTTTTTTTTTTTGCAGTTACAAGGGTGGAAATTTCTATTTTTTTATTTTTTATTTTTACAATTTCAAGTAAATGCGCTAACATACTTAATATTGCTCTTGGCTGAACTCGAACACTCAAAAATCATATTATATTGATCACATGGTCACTGAATCATAAAACCCGTCATCATCAAGGAGGCTTACACTAACAAATCTGAATTGGATCTTTGGTCTTAGTGGTTTTTTACTCACATTGGGTAGGTGAGTTGGCAGGGTTGGATTAATAGCCCAATATTATTCTTATAAAGACGTGACTAAGAAGACGATTGGTTGCAGTGTCATTTGCAAGAAACGCCTTAAATACGTTTATGTGATTGGATTCAACATTTTAAACGCACTATCGATCGATTCTCTTTTTGGCCCGTTCTTCTCATAATTCGGATGTCTATTGAATACTTAATTTGAAATTTTTATTAGATATTGAATTAGATCATTTATTTAATTAACAAATCAAATATGAATTATAGTCAATTTTTTAAAGTTGTTTGTGAATATGTTTTTGATGAATTGTTCCCGGACGGGCTTGTGGACTGATGTAATTACATATAATTTATATAATATATAAAAAAAGGGAAAGTCCAATGCTCAAAATATGTATAGAATTGACATATTAAATTATTTTAAGTAACTTCTCCAATAGAGATTCACAGCATTCAAAGGTCTGATTGATTGTGTCACGAGGACTTCTCTCAAACAATAATTCTGAGTATTGTGTATTGCCTATCTCTCTCTCTCTCTCTCTCTCTCAGCACTTCTCTCAAGTTCTCAATAGTTCAAGCTTCTGGTCTCTGGAATTCAAACCCATAGATTAACTACACCAACGACTTGCTACAGGTGGATTTCTCTCTCATTTTTTCTTTCTAAATCTCTCATTCTCTCTCCCTCTTCTTTGTGAAAGTCTTTTATGCTATTTTAGGTTGGTTTCCTTCTCAATTTGAAGTTGCAGCAATTTATTATTATTATTTTTTTATTTTTATTTTTTTGGGTAATTAAGTTGTAGGAAATTTTGTTTAGATAGTTTTTTTTTTTTTTTCAAGGTGAAAAAACAATTTGTAAATGACACATATTGTTAAAATGTCTAATGAAAATTTATTAGTTCATTGTTTCTTTATGCTTCACAGTATACTTTATCTTATTATTATTATTGTTTATGACACTTTTCAATCAGTTTTCTTGAAGCCGAGCTTAAACAAACTTCTAAGAACGAGCTCAACTCATTTATAAATTATAACCCTTGTGTAGAGTTGTCCAAACTTATATACAATTGTAGACTTACATAGTTTTGTAGACTTTGTACATTAATCTGAGGTGTTTTAGAGACTCATTCTAGAATTCTCCTTGAGCTTTGACCATTTATTTATTATTTATTATTGTAAAGACCTCGACCTATACAAGATTCATTTACTCCTTCAACCAAGTGTTGTGAAGAGCTCTTAGAGTAATACAAGTCTTCTACATTCATTCAGGTGAGCTTCGAAAACGTCACTTGCGTCTAAGAATTAGAATTTTTATTTAAGATTAATAGTTTATTTACAAATATTATCACAAAAAAAACATATATCTTGAAATTTCAAACATCATTACCATCTTTTTTCTAATTACACAATGCAAGGGAGTAGTTATAGAGTATTTATAACACATCCCTCTATAAATCTATAAATCTATCAAAGAGGTAATCTTCAAAACCTTCCATTAACCTCTCGCAAATTTTCAATGGATGGATCCATTCAAACCAATTTGGTAAAGCTTCTTTCTTCTTTACCCCTTTTCCTTGGGCCACCACCTTCTCCTTGTTCCAGCCCAACAAATAACTTCAACCAAGTCGATAAGCCGAAGGCCTGTAGCATAGTTCACCGGATTTGAGTTCTTCCAAGCGATGACGCTCCAATTTCGCTGTCAGTATTCTGCAAGATAGTTCCATCCACATATAAGTTGAGTTATAATCAAGAGAAAGGAAAAAAGGGATAATGTAAGAAGGGTAGATAATTGTTTATCTGTTTTCCACTAAAGAAGCATATTGATACTGTAGTTACAATTTCCTTGTTCATATAAATGGTGGTACCATTTACACTCAAATTTTCCAGGTTTAACCTCAGTCGCTCCACCCTTCCTTTTTCTCATAATCAAATTACACAAGGGCCATTAAAATCTAGAAGGAATACAATAATTATCCTTTCTATAAAATTACACCCCTCCTATAATTGCTCACTGGTTACCTATATTCTTCTTTGTTCTTTTCAATAAAAATTGAAATTGAATGCATTTTCTTTATCATTGAAGTATCTAAAAGAATACTCACCTGAGATTTGGGAGAAGGGAACACATTCCAGAATCTAAGTGTTTCATCTCCAGCTCCTGTGACAATAGTCTGGAACAATATTGCAAGTATAAGCATAAGAAGGGTGAACGAAGAGAAACTAAAATTTTCTGGAGTCATTCATAATAAAAGGGAAAAAAGAAAAAAAGAAAAAAAGTTCAATTAAGCTACCTGTCCATCCGGAGAGATAGCAAGGTAAAGAACTCTATATGTATGACCCGTGAGAGTTGCCAACTGCAGCAACAAAACAAATTAACAAGAAAAAAGAAAAAGAAAAAGAAGATATATGTTGATTCAAACAGGTTCACAAAGGTCATTCACAGAATTTTGTACCTTTGACATTGTAGGATATCTCCAAACTATTATTTGGTTTTGGGAGTATCCATGGGTGCTGACGAGTTCGTTGACATTTTTAGACCACACAAGATTGCATACCTGCCATAGATACAATGGAAAATTGTCACCACTCATTAATGTGTGTGTAAGAGAGAGCCATGGAACCACATACAATATTATGCTTAATGATCAACTAGCTCCAAATTATCATCTCCCATGAAAGTTAATAAAAAGACCACATTACTGAATTTCATTGCATCCTATTATCACTAAAATGAACTTCAAGAGATGGAAAAACTTGAATAATTTTAGATTGAACATAATAAAGTACAAAATACATAAAGTATCTGACTCTGGGGTGAATTGATAAAAGATCAGGTTGATAAGCAAGAAAATGCGGCACGAGAGTGGCCAGTTTACACAAATTAATGCCAAAATTTAGGTTTCTCAAATCCACCTTTTCAAGCACCACATGTACAGAGACTAACAATGGATAATGGTCTTTTTTTAGCAAGTATAACTCTCACTTCTTTTCTTTAGATGAATATCTCAGTCCACACATTATGCCACAATGTACAGAACACCAAGCATAGTTAGTAGTTACTAAGGGTTACAACCCACCCCCCGGGGAAGAAAAAAAAAGGCAGACAAACTGTTGTAACATAATGAATATAAAGATTCCAAATCAATTTATGTTTTACAAGAATCAATCATCAACCGATTAGCCAAGTATATATTAAAGTCAAACAAGTAATCTATGAAAATATAATAGTACATAACTTTTGAACTCAAAAAAAGGACATTAAAATATTACAGTATTATAAGTTTGTCATTTTCATTGGCTCTCTTTTACAAGGTTTATCAAACTGAAATTGTTATGCCATATGACCTTTTAGAATATGTGATCCACTTGCATCACAATCATCTCTCCTGAAGTGGAGTTTTTATATTTGCAACTGTGGAACCTCTTACCTTGCTCTAACTCAACCCATCTAATCTTCATCCGACACAATTTCATGCAAAAGATAAATAAAATGGACTTAATCTTCAAACAAAATCTAAAATTTATCTAGCACAACCAAGTGGTACATGTGGTTCAACAAATCTAATCTTTCCACAAACTCAATATATTTATTGGTATGGGAAAAATGCAAAGGGGATTTACTTATCAAAAAAAACAAAAAAGGCAAAGGGAAATTACACCTGCAAACATATAAAAGGCTTACAAGAAAGCAAGATGCTGCAGCTCGCAACAGCCTATGTTGTCGTAAAGAACAACTATTGGTTATGACCTCAAAAAAAAATAAAAAAAATAAAGTGTTGAGTAGCTTGTAACAATACCGGTTCTTTTCTAATAGAAGTGTTTTTAAACACGATATTAAGAAGTATAATATAGCTTTTAAATTTGTAGCTTACCTTAGATATTAAACAGTAACTGATATAATTTTTTTTTTTTTCCTAAAGTGATATAATTACTATGCTTAAAATCATCTGTCCAGGATGCAGTCAATTGTGCAACAAATTATATTTGATAACACAATAAAATTTTGGATTGTAAGGCTGTTTTAAACAATCTCATCTCTATGGTATACTCTTTAGGAAAAGAAACAAGAGTCAATTTTGAAAATGGTGGTCAGCAAATTTTCACTGAGACGTATGTTTAAAGTCTTTTGGCACTCTGTACATGACAAAACCAAAGAACTTTCAACTTTATATTGTAAGGGCTTTCTCATTGCATCTTTCACCTCCTTCTGTAGCTATTACTGATTTATGTGTAATCTATTGATCACATGATTACAGATTATAGGCATATGTACTCCCCCAATAATTTTCTCATATCAATGATTAAATGATGCCAAGATGCAAAGTCATGGTGATTGAGACTCTTCCCATTCGAAAGTTTACTCATTAGAGGATTCTAATATCATGTTTTTAGGAACAACATATTAACAAAAAAAGAAATCTCTGAAGTTAGTTTAATGCCGTCCTATTGAATTTTTTTTTTTTTTTTCCTGCCTAAATGTAAAGTTAGTTTAAGGCTTCGTTTCAATGTATTGCAAGTGCTTCCCCATTTTTCTTCTCCATCCTCCCTCCTTCCGAATAGACGGAAAAAAAAAAAACAAAAATAAAGAGAAATTAACACATCGACCACTTCTAAAGAAAAGTTGAATACTATTTTTATTGCACATGCTACTCAATTAACCATGATATCCTGATGTTAAAGGTCCGATTCTGTACAATCAACCACACACTTACAAGGATAAAGAGCATCTGGAATCCTCATGTTTTATTTATTAGTAATTTAATTATATACATCTTTATGGCTTGTACAAATCGTAACTATTTTTTCTTATATTCTTCATTTCTTCTAAATTTCATGGTGTTTGATTTTCCTAGTATTAAGGCATGAGCAACTTAATTCCCCATTATGATATGTGCACTGTTTAAGTACAAGTCACATGAATTACAGTCTTCAGAAAGTTACAGCTAAAAACTCATATGACAGTAAAACTCATATGAAAATAACAGCTAGCAACACAATTACCAATCTAAGTTCATCTATGCGACGTGTGAATCAAACAAATTCAAGAAGGTATAAAATCAATACTATGTGAAGGCCAAGTAGCTCACCTGGCTTCCTGTGTCCATGCAGCTCAAGTGTGAGTTAGTAGTCGTGTTCCAAAACCGAATGCACCGGTCAGCGGTACCACCACCAGAAGCTAGAAGCCCATGAAGATGGGGAGACCATGCAATTGCTTTTACAGCGGCAGTATGCTCACAGTATTTCAGCACAGGTTGAGTTGAATGTTGATTCCAAACAAAAAGCTGAAAAGGAAGAGTTTTTTCCAATTAGGAGACAACAATATCAATCATCGACCATGACATACTGGAGCAAACATGCAATAAGCATCATCATAAGTGAGTTTTGAAAAAGGAATAGAACCACATACTCGATTATCATTTCCGCCGGATGCTAACTCGCGGTTATCATAAGACCACTTCAATCCACAAACCTAAACCACAACCAGTAACATGAGAAGAATTTAGAGGGGGAAAAAAACGAAGAATGAATTTAGAGTAATAACTAATGAAAAAAAGAAAAGAAAAGACAATTAGTAAAGAACAACAAATGAAAGCTGCTCATATCATACTACTAAATTAGACAGTATGAGATTGAAGAAGACATATTTCAAATAAAAAATAGATCCGAATGGCATTTAACCACAACATTTGGAGTCTAACCTCTGACTTGTGTCCAGTTAGTTTACTAACATAATCTTCCTGAGCACGTATATCTCGTTGAAGAATAGTTTTGTCCCGGCTACCTGAAGACAAGAGGGATGAACTCCAGGCTAGTGCCCCGACACGTAATCGATGGCCCTCCATAGTTCTTACCCTCCTACAGCGAGATGCATCCCAAATCTAAAAATATAAAAAGGTAAGATATCAGTTACCAGTTATAATACTGGACAGTACAGGTATTACACAATTATTAGAGTGGCGGGTGTAACAAACAAAATATCCCTATTATCACAGGGACTGTTCAAGCTTACCAAATATATTTTTACCAGCATAATTTACTAGCATGTTAATGTGATTTAAAAAAATATAGTAGCTTGAGGGGATATCACCATATGTTACAAAGTATACGGTATCACGACTCTTGGTCCCCCCCAAAAAAAAAAAAGGTAACCTTTGACTGCAGAATCCAATAAAAATGTTTTAATGATTTTAAATGGGTTCTATTGAATATATAAAGTTGTTTTGATACGAGTAATAACATATAAATTAAAATTCAAACTGTTGTCCGCAGTAAAAGTTTACTAAAATTTGTTTAATGGATTTTATTGATATATTTGCAAATTTTCTGATCTTCTCAATTCAATTTTTTACTTCTTATTGAAAACAATTTATGTTGACTAATATCTGTGTATTATGAAGAATTTATTTATTCCAGATTTTTTGATAAAAAATTTCCAAAATTTTTGTCAATTTTATTAATATTTTAGTACATTTTGTTATTTAAATTTATATGAAAGATTAATGTAGACTGATATATGTATAATATAAAGCTGTTATGTACAATACACAAGTGCTGGTACTTCATTAGTTCAATCATATACTTATAAAAATGCATTTAAGTAAAACAAAAAAGAAGATTAAAAAAATTAGGTAAAAAATCAGAAAACTAAAACAGATAAAAATGATTTACAAATTAGGAATGTAAATCAATCATAGCTTTTGAAAAATTCAAAAACATTTGAAAAACAAGTAGATCAGGAGATTCACAACAAGATCCATGAAAATGTTACATCTAACCTAAAAACAACATTTTCATATTAAATCTAGGTAAAAAGAAGAAGAAAATAACAATCATACCGATAAATCACAATATCAGAAAGCTTTTACTAAAGATTTACAGACAATTCTTCTTCTTTTTTCTATTTGCTTTTTAGAGCTTAGGCTTGTATATTTAAGTTGTTTGGTATTTTTGAAGGCTCTTTGGAAACTGAGGAACTCATTTGGAAGCGAAAGAAATGAGAAAATTAGGGGGAAAAACTGACTTATATTGATGGGTGCCCAAAACTGTAATGTTGTGGCCGTGACATATCCATCGCAGCAGAGCCACACGGAGTCGGTAACGATTCCTAGATTCACCAATGATATCAGTCCGACTCAATTGTGGTGGCAGTCACGGGCCAATTCTGTTACACTAAATTTTAATATATTGATATATATAAATGGTTTGGTTACATTGTAAAATCAAACAAGAGGAAGCCAGGCTTGCAAAACCATATCAAATCTTACATAGGACGAATATAATTTTTAGGACATTTGGTTGTAGAAATGTTTTCCAAGGCTTTAAATAAGTATAGTTTGAAATCAAGGACTTCATTTTACGTTAAAAAGGGGTAACATGACAAACTTGATATTCACCCAATATAGCCCTCACGTTAAGGTTTTCATCGAGATTGATAAGGACTTCATATTTCCTTATTGACGTAGATTCATCCATGTGAGATATTAAAGCTCCAACCCTACACTTTGATTCACGACTAGTAAAACTGTAATAGGGAGTGAAAGATCATAACTCTGCCTTTATTATTAATAGTCAGTAAATTCTGGTCCTCGGTGTACACCCTAAAGTCTTAATAAACATAGTAGTACTGTTCTCACAGTAACTTCAATTAATTACAACCAGACAACCACAGGGATTATTATTCATGGTTTCAAAAATATGTTGATCAATCTCAATTGTTATTTGCGCTTGGTTATACACGTAACAGTTATTAAGTGTAAATAATTCAAGCTGCTGAAACCATATTGCTGTGACAGAGCTAACTTTGTTGAGTTATGATCCTAGATATTACAAGGAGCATCTAAGCTTGCAAGATGTAAACGACATTCCATATTATAGACAACCAATGTCCATCTAAGCCAAATAAATGGCTCAAAGTTCAAATTACTCAACAAACCAACATGCGTCTCGCTTATGCACAGGAACTATGAAAACTATCTTAGATTATCATATAGTACCTGGAGTTTGCCGTTGCTAGTTCCAACAGCAAGATGTGTTCCACGCTGAGCCCAACCAACTGAGCAGACACTGTCATCCATCCCCAAGTCACACAATTTTGTCACCTGCATATGTTGTGCCACAAAGAAGTTCATGATATCCAATCACAAGCACATAAACAGTGAGAAAGAGATCATTCAGGAAGTAAATTCAAAGCCACCAAAACAGATTTTAACATCACTATGTCTGTGTATGTGTGTGTATTGTATGGCATATCATATGGTTGCTCACAATTACAAACAGAGAAAAAAAATTAGGCAAAGGTAGAACTCACCTTGCTACTGCAAGCATTCCATAAATAAACACAGTTGCCCAGCCCCACAGCCAACACATTATGGGAAGACCAGTCAACAAGGTTCAGATAAAAATCATCTTGCAATGCAGGTGCATCCAAAACCTAAGGGGAAAAAAGCAATTCAATGCAATACCCATAAATTTAAATCATCCCAAGCAAAAACAACAAACCAAACCAAGAAATTCACCTTATAAGGAGACCTTGGAACCTTCCTCGGAGCTTTAACGGGGCTATGACTAACCCCGGGCAACTGATCATCGAACCCCAGAGGTGCTAAAGAGTGCATAGGCAGCCGAGTCTCAGTCTTGTACCGGAAAATATTCCGAGTGGGCGATCCAATCGGCAAAGTCCTCCCATTAAATCCCACCCCCTTGTCGGGTGTCGCTGGAGGAGCAATACCCGAGTCGGGACCGAACAATGCGGTCCGCAATAACGAGGCATACGCACCGGACGAGTCCTCACGACCGTCGGAAGACGAATTCGAGGGCTGTGGGATGTCGAAGAGGGCAAAATTTGATCCGGATCGGCTCGGAATGAAGCGATCGCTGTAGATGGTGCGCGAAGGGGATGGGTGGTAACCTAGACCCACCATTCGATCTATGTGGCTAGATGGGGTTGAGGGTTCTACATAGAGAGAGGTTCGTGACGTCGTTGAAGGAAGATTGAGCTGCGAAGAAGAAGACGATAATGACAATGGCGATGACAATGAAGACGACGTCCTGAGTGCTGCTGATTGGTTTTCTAGTGATGGTGTCGTGGGATTGTCCATATATAATTACAGAGAGATTTAGGTGGAGATGGGGAGAAGGGTTAGAGAGAGAAACCCTAGAGAGAGAACTGAGAAGTTCGTCGTGTATTGGGGATTAGGTGGAAAATTGCGAGTGCTCTATGGTGCTGAGAGATTTCACAGTCACGGTTAATTTTCCCGGGAAAATTAATTATAGAAACGTGTATGGGAAGTCCATTGGGAAGCGGATTTGCGCGAAAATTATACAGTCGGTGGGAATTTCGTTGTCTGGTTATTTCTATTTTCAGGTTTAGTGCAAAACCAAACCGACCACAGCTAGGAAAAGAAACCCTACATCAAACGTTTGGTTAATTCAAAAAAACATAAATAACAAAAGAGACACTTACCGAAAAAAGAAAAAAAGAGACGTTATAAAATCAAGATTTATTTTTTAACTTATAATGGCATGCCTTTTAATTATATTAAATATTAGATTCTTGTTATCAAATATTTTAAAGTAACAAGTATTTTTTGAATAAATGAACAAAATGGTTTAATTTATATGATCATTTTTTTTTTTAGATAAGGTCACTATTACCGTTCATTTTTTGTTTTTTTTAGATAAGGTCACTATTACCGTTCAGCAAAAAGAAAGTGTTGTTGTTGTTGTTGTTTTTTATTTTTATTTTTTTATGTTCTCTCTGACTCTCTGTCTCCCCTTTGAATCAGATTATGGTAACTGCCATCTCTCACTCCAGCACCATTTCTACGTGACCAGATATGAAATACCTATGTCTAAATCCTTTAATTGAATTTTATTGTGTCGTGACTTGTGTGGACCTTAGCCATTATCCTTTTGCTTTTTCTTTTTTTATTTGTTTTATTTTATTTTTATTTCACTGATGTCTGACTTCTTGGAGCATATTCTAATCTCAAACACAGTTTTTCCGTCCCACATTCACTAGACAAATTGAGAAATTTATTGAAAGTGGCCTCAAGTAGTATTGAGGTTGTGGAATTTGATAAGTAGTTTGGGAAAAGTTCAATCTGTTGCACTTTTGCGGACTAATCGCACTTTTGCGAACCGATTCAACTTTTTCAATCTTGAAGTTCTACAGGTACGATCAGTTGCACTTTTGGGTTGCAGTTGTCCAGAATTTGTTTCCTTGCCTGTTATTCTTTTTTCAAAAGGCTTAAACTTGCGGGGGCAAGGTTTTGTACCAACCCTTTTTGTGCACAAATTTGTGTGAGATTTTATTATGTAGGCCACAACTTGCATTTGGGTGTGAAGTTTGCCTAACTAGTGGAGAAGGAGAAATTATTATATGGTTTTCAGCCAATTATATAATAACACGCAAGCAAATGAGTTAATTTTGTGTCAACTTTATTATATTTTTGCTAATGTGTCATTTTATGATTAGTTGAGATCAATTATTACCATACAATAATATCTTTTTTTCATGGGCCTGGAGGGGCAAATTGTTGGGATTTATTACTTTGGGCTATCAAGCCTATCGTGTTGGGCTAGCCCAGTTACGTCCATTTAAGCTTGAGCCTTTCTTAAAGGCATATATTGGAAGGAAATTTGTCTAAAACAGAAACGGAGTTCTCTTCACTACTCTTTAATGGGAATTTTATGTATGTGCTGGATTTAAGCTCGAGGTTCTCTAATTTGTCACGGGAAGTCTTTTTTATTCGGATACAGTGCAAAAAATAAAAATAAAATAAAATATTCTCCTGGAAAATTTATTCAATTTTCAAATTGAGCAATGACATTTTGTCATGAAATACTTAAAATTCTCTTAACAAAAAATATATTAATTTCATAAAACACTTATTAAGGATATTTTGGAGTTTTAATTTTTTTTTTTAAATGGTTACAATTTATAGTCAAGGGACAATGTGCACATATTTTCAAATATTAGGGATTTATATGCACATACTTTAAAAGGTGTATATTTGCACATTTTTTATATGAGACAAGTGCAGAAAATACTCATAAAATATATTTTGCATAACACTTTTATCCATATTTGAAAAAGTGTACTCCTAATATTTTCACATTGTACAAAAATATCCTTCAATCAGGAATTTGACATAAATTAGTGTTGTAATACACGTTTTGCCCTTCTACTTTTTCAAAAATGCCCAATAGGGTATATATGCTACTAATGTCATAGTATAGGGGTGTTATGTGCACATTACCTTTTTTTAAAGAAAAATTAAAAATTAAAAATTCTCCGTATATATCTCTAAACCATTTTTTTTTTTTTTTTGAAACTTTTAAAATTTGAATTTTTTTTTATATTTCAGTTCACTGTTTTCTACTTTTTAAAAAAAAAAAAAAATTTCGTACAGAATCCCAATATCAATGTGTAATGGTTTTCGGAGTTTGGAGTAGATTTGTGTTTTTTAATTTGTATTTTTTTATTTTTTATTTTCTATTTTTATCTTAATTTTTTATTTTACTTTTATTTTTATTTTTATCTTTACGTGTCCATTACCGATGTCCTCCAATAATATCCTTCAAGCATTTTACAAAATTATTTATTTTTATATATTTTATAAAATATTTGAGCAAGAGTAATTTATTCAATTTAAGATTTAAATTTGTTTTAATTTTTTTTGGAATAGAAAAAGACTAAACTAGTAGGGGGCGAGCAAGCATATACTTGCAAGAGGAAAGTAAGAAAATGCCCGGTATGGAGGCGAAGCCAATACTGCCTTAATAAGAACTTCTCCTTTTCGATTGCTACAGCATAAAGACAAGGTAAACTCTTCAATCGAATGGATCTTTGATCCTATCACGCGGCTAATTAGGAAAAACGGAAAGAGTTTTCTGTACTTGATCCTTTTTATACAGCTGAGAATTTTTTTTGAACTTTATCCTTTTTGTTATTAGCTTCTTTCTTCTTCTTCTTCTTCTTCTTCTTCTTCTTCTTCTTTTTCTCTTCTTTTTTATTTAAAAAAAAAAAGGTTTAAGCAAACTCTCATACTTACGCACAAGGCCACAATATTGGGATCAAAATTCTCTCCGGTGCGACAGTGTAGCCGGTGAGTTTTGTTTAGGATACATATTATCAAAATGTGTGATGTTGGCCTTACATCCCAACACTTTTCTAACGTACATCCCAACCAACACTTAACGTGTGTTTAAATTTTTTCCTGACGTGTGTTCCAATAAAACCTGATGCGACAGTTATACTGTTGCGCCGGAGAGAATTTTGTTCCACAATGTTGTCCCTAATGGAGATCCAACCATCATTCCTCTCCAAAGAGATCAGTCTATTTGGGTTAATCACCATTGGTTTTGTTATGAGATGTTGGTTTACAAACTTTGGCATGTTTCTTCACTTCGAGTTTGAGCTCTGACACTCTTATGGCATAGTTTGGAGTTGTAGATTGAGAAAATCTAACACTAGTGTTTCTACCTACTTTATTTATGTATCTAATTTCTCCAATGTGTCTGATTTTTCCCGTCTTACAAAGGTATTTGTGTAAAAGTTTGTCTCGATTGTGATTTTTGGTTGGTAGTAATTTCATCTTTTTGTTCTTGGTGTTTGGTTGAATAAACCTCATTGGCTACTTAGAATGAAAAGAAGTTGCTTTGCAAAAAACATATATTAATCTGGGAATATCAAAATAATGCTTAAGTTGAGTTTGGAAGCACTGAATAGATGCTTTAATCTTGGAATCGGATGAAATTTAGTTCAAAATTAAATTTCTTTAGAGTCCAAATTCAAGTTGCAATTGGGTAATCCTCAACATAGCACCAAAATTAAGTAGAAGAAGACTAGTGTGTAATATTCTTTCTCCTTTCTTTTGGGTTTTTAGGTCACCAAACACATTGAAATTATTCTCAGTTCTAAGGAAGAAAGTTCTTCTATCTGTCATTACATTTGGGTTCATTAAAGTTGTAATCCTCTCTCCAAATGTTCCTTTCATGACACTCACAGCCTCACCCCATTGACATGCTTTATGCATTCCTAAAATTGTCCACCATTTTTTTTTATTAAACTTGAGCATGTGTTTTCCTTGCCCAAACATTTTCCAGATTGAATCTCTTATAATTTTAATTCTGAGCTTTGTTTTTCCGGCCTCTCTCTCAAATTTTATCGTTAGAGTTGCAGAAATTTAGCCATATTAAGATAATATTGTAATTGAAATATTCTGTAGTTATATATCCATTTTGACTCTTTAATTTTGGCACTGTAGAACATATAGTTTGTGACTTTAAATGACAACCAAAAAAACCATTAAAACCTCTTATCACAATCCTTCTAAATTTTCAAGAACAAGAAAAGAAAATTTTAACTGGAACTAATAAAACAATTTTCAGCGTGTCTAAATCCTCTTCAATGTCATTCTATTAAAAAAGCAGGAATTTTGTATTTTCAGCTAATCTTACAAAAAGAATAACACATGAACAAAAATCAAGAATTGATCAAGGAGGAGGAGGTCTGTACTCGTGCTCAATCGCGGGTAATGTCCGAGTACCAGTAGCCGTAGGAGCCCTCACATGCCCTACCATTGACACCTGCAGAGCTTCTTCTTCATAAGCCCTCCTCTCCATCTCCTCCATCCTTGCTTTCTTCTTCACCTTCACAAACAAAGCAATCAAAAGCAAGCCCAAGAGAAAAGCACCCAATGCAGCTCCAATGGAGCTTCCAACGGCTATTCTCCACCGGCTCGCCTTCTTCTTCATTGGCATCAATGGTGATTCAATCACCAACCCAAAATGTCCATGCCCTGTTGCAGCACAAACATTGGGCATCACTTGGTTAGCTAGTGTCACCTTACCATCGCGCTCAAACCTAGCACATAATGGTATAAGCCCCATTGTGTTGTTGCTCCTTGGGGTGTTGCTAAAATCTATAGTAATGGGATTTTTCCCAGCTTGAATTCCTACTTCAAATGGGTTGCTGATGAAATCTATGTTATCACCTGCATTGTATGCTAGGAGGCCTAATACAGGTGAAACAAGTTGATAACCAGACAATTCATAATTGTCATAATATATAGATGACCAGTTATATCCAAGGTTTTGTCTTACAACCATAACTCTTTCCACACAAGGCTTGACAGTAACACCAATCCCCAAATGGAATTCCTTAATCCGAGCACCGTATCTGCTGAGACTCCCACACCGAAACCTCACTGTATTGACTCCTATGCCGGAAAGGTTCACCGGTAAATTTACAGTGTGCAGCAATCCTGTCCTGAAGTACTTGTTGTATGACCGGAATGTCAAGTCTCGAATGATAAGATCGAGAAGACGAGCTGATTTGATGCTTTGGCCTTCACTTTCTGTTGATCCAGTTGATGCTAATGAAAGAATTATCAATACTGCAAGAGAAAAAAGAGAGCCCATTTGATCGAGAAAGTGTGAGCTTGATGTACAAGAATTTAGTTACAATAAGCACTATTGATATTAGAGTTTCTATTCTTTTGGGACTCGTAAGAAGAGGTTGGTTTCTATATATGAAAGCTATATGTGAATCAGCTTTTTCTTTCCTGAAGATTCAAGCTAGGCTGGACTTGGAGAGAGTAAAGTTTGGACTGTTTGGGAGAGTTCACAATTTAGAGAGGATGTGGGGATGAGTTGGCTGGAGTGGGGCTTTTCTATGCCTGTACTTTAAGTTCCTACAGGCTAAAAGACTCCAACATAATGTATGATCCGATTTTAATGCTTGCCCCCATATGATTAATTTATCTAGGAACCCGCTAGCTAGTGTTTGCTTTTGGACCAACGCTCTATTGTGATCTAGAGGTCACAATTCAAAATGGAAAATAGTTTTTTCACATGTGAAGGTAAAATTGTATACTTCTGATTTTATCAGACCTCTCTTTGATGAGAGTCTCGAGCACTAGACTAGTGTTAAAAGGTTCTTATCTCACATTAGATCTGGACCAGAAGGAGAATGAGTATATATATATATATATATAGACTTTTGGAGCAGCAGTACCCAAAACTTTTGGGTCATTTGCAAGTACGGTTGGTATTAGAATCAGACACGGTTCTTGATCCGGTGTAGACAAGATATCCGACTGCAATGAGAGCATTGTGAAATCGTCCAACCTGTTACAATTAAGCTTCTTTTACAGTAATAATAATAATAATAATAATAATTTATGCTCCATCTATATGCCTGTGTTGGTCTGAAAGTATGAGTTGGGAAGGGTTAAGGGTCAGGTGACAAGGTTGGGAGGAATGATTTTGGCGCGTGGTGGATGATGATGACATTTCATGTCAAAAGCAAATGAAAAAGGGAGTTGGCGTGCAGAGGAAATGGAATGAGAACATGGTCCCTATTTGGGGGCTCATTACCACTTAATTGCTTTGATAACATGTCTTCCACTCCAACTACTTTGTGGGTCTCATGTTTACTAGTTGCATGCCATCCCAATTGTTTTAATTTTGGAAGGGCCCCATAGTTTCACATGGTATATATATATATATAAAAATAAATTATGATTAGGAAGCACTGCTAGGGTGTGTGATTATATACACATATTCTAATGCCAATTGCTAGTGAAGGATAGAAAATATTTTCTGCCCTCCTCACACAAATTTGAGTTCTTTGTATGGTGGTTAGGTAATTGTGTTACAAATTAATGATAGATTGTCACTGTGAAGTAATAGTAGAAGATATTTAGTTTCTTTTAAATAATAAAAATAAATACTAAAAATAAATACTGGCAGACAGCAAAATGCTGGTATATGTAAAATTATTGGGAAATTTTCAAATTATTATTCCAACTGGAAGATCAAAGTCAATGATTTATTGGTCTTTGAGAGTTACATTCTTTTTATTTCATGCAGATGCCTCGATAGTCCAGTGGTTAGTGCCTTCGGTGGATGTTGAGAGTGCGGCTTCGACTCTTTGTACTTACTAATCTAACTTCTAATTTTTTTTACTTTGTGAAAAAAAATAATAAATAAGAATAATAAATAAAAAATTTCTTTTGATTTCATCATTTGCATCGACTTACGACATGCTATACATTGGATGTGCCAATTGAAAAGTTGTTTGTTCTCTTGATGGGGTTAACAACACAATTAGCTAGTTAAATGATATTGGTTTTGACACTTCTTTTTAATTTTATTATTATGATCTTCCTTCCTTTCAACAAGTCAATCAGTTGCTAAAGAAGCACTCTGTAAAGAGAAAAAGAAAATAGTATATTTACTTTGTTCCTAAAATAAATAATAAATAAAAATAAAAAAACCATGTCATTAAGAATTTAAGTTTACTCTAGACATGAACACGTAGGAATTCATATATTTTACACATATATATTTCCCGGGCAAAACAATTGGAATTCATTTCCATTGCTCAAGAGAAGAAAATGAAATACACATGAGAGGAAAATCTCCAAAAAGGAAAAGCAATAGTGATACCCCAAAAGCCGTAATTTAAGTCATAGAAAAAGCAAAAGATTGAGAGTGGATTCCATATACATCCACATATGCGTGTGTGTGTATATATATATATATCAATGGAAGTTGACATTTGTTTTGTATGTCAACCCTACATTCCAGTTATAAGGAGCAACATTATATGCTATAACAGTCTCTTTGGTAGTGTAAGAAGTAAGTTTGAAAGAGAGAGGTTGGCCACCCAGAGTTGCAAATGCCTGGTATGAAGCTCCCCAGTTATGGCTCATGCTTATCCATCCTGTTTTGCTTCCCTTCACCCACATGTTGGCTATGTCGCCGCCTCCGCCCACGTTCATCACGTACACCAACAACCAGTATCCATTTCCCTGGAAAGAGAATCGAAGTCCGCCTGACCTAATGCAGGGTACCCTGCAGCAACAACACACATGCATTCAGAAGCATTTCACTAAATTTGCATTAATTTTATAAATTTATTATATTTTTTTTGAAAGGAAATATACTTTAGCAATTTTGTTTGTTAAAGCAAGTTTTGAAAGAAGTTGGCATTGTGTGCTTCTTTTGAAAGGGGGAGTAGCACTAAATTTAAATTTGAAATTAGAGAAAATTTAATATAACAAATAAAAAATTCGGTTTTAAATGGAAAAAAAGAATACAATAATTGGAATGACAGATTTTGGTGGTTGAGTTTAAAGGCTACCTACAAAGTGAAACAATTGGGACATTTCAGATGATGTGAAAAATATTCAAAAATCACTACCAATGTCTAAAAATCTACCTCCCATTTTGCAATGAATTTCTCTAGAATCCTAATTGGCGATCTGTTTTGTTATTGACAAAAAGCCGTATAAAATAATTAAGAAACAAAACTAACAAGTCAAGTTGGTATGATCTCTCTTTTCTAAACAAGCGATGTGTCGCGGGTATGTGAGCTTGACTCGGGTTCAATAAATGAGCGGTAAGGTCTAAATGTCGTAACTAAGTTCTCATATTTTATTTGAATAAAATATGTTCCTTGAGAGTTCAATTTTTATGTAAGAAAGTAAGATTACCTGCGGTACATGACAGGGACAATGCCAGCCTTCCACTCTGCAATTTTCATGAAAGCAGGCTTGGACATGTCGAAGTGTGTCCGAGGTGGGTTGCACCAGCCACCGTTGTTGGAGTCCTCCGCCCAATTGGGTGGGCAAATGTTTGTGGCCGTGATGGTGGCGAATGGAGAACCTCTGTAGCACCATGGTGACTCAGCACACTTGATCTGGTAACAAGTTCCGCAAGCATATCCATCGTTAAACAAAGTCGAGCTTAACGCCGCCGTGTCAGTTCCGTAACCATTATTGAACAAGTTTCCATACCCACAAGCTCCTCCTGCAAATCCACGGAGACATGGACAATCAGCTAATGTCTTAGCATATCATGAAGTTGCGTTTCATGGATTGACTGTATAACATGACATTCTCCGCATTGTGGTCCGTGCAAATATGCATTTTTATATATTTACTTAATCAATATATATATGGTTTAACTTCACCGGCTTTCAAGTCATGTAGTGAACAATTTGTGAAATCGTGCGAGTATTTACCTAATTAAAAAATTATTATTATTTTTCTTTCATTTCATTTTATTTAAGTAGTATGAGTTCCTAAAACTATATATCTATTGTCCTCATTCCTAATAGTTAGCTTTTTCAGAAAACGAAAAATAAAACAAATTTATTCAAAATGCTATTTGTCCGACTCTATGCTTGATGCATCATGTGATGACTTGTGACTGTCTTAATTTTATATTTTTAGTACGTAAAATAACTGAAGAGAGTAACAAATATAGAAGCTTCAATTCACCTCCTTCTATATATTTAAGTGACTCATTTGCGTTCCACCTAAGTACATCAAGGATCATTATTCTACTTCTACTGATTTTAATTGAGCAGGACGAGTCATTCTTTGAGCCGATTTTGGGACTTTAAAAGTGACAATATGAGAGTTACGCTATTTGGACCGATTTAAGTAGATTCAATTTTGACCCTAACATTTAATGAAGTTGAATCAAAATTTTGGCCAAAATTTAAAATATAAAAATTAAAGAGTAAAGATTACGAGAATTATAACGAACCCATGGTGGCGGTGGCTGACTCGTCTCCATAAAATGTGGCGTGGGCGATGGCCCACGGACTAGGTCGGAAAATTGGTGCATAAGCACCTGCTGATCTGCCAACTATTGTCAATATGCAGCCCATCATGAGGAAGCTAAAGCTCCATGAATGGCGGAGGAAAGAAGCCATTGCTATTGAACCTTGAAGCTTTTGTGAACCAAGTACAATGCAAATTGACTTGATACATAATAGGCTTTATATACTGTTCTATTATAGGTAAACGAAGTGACTTCGTGACCCTCACGAATATGTAGTCTTTTTGTTAAGTCAAAGGTGTGGGGATTATTGATTGAGAGTGGGCCCATTAAATTAAGAAGTCAAAGTTTTAGGAATTATCTATCATGTGAGGGGTAGGGTGCATGGAGGACGATGAATCTTTGGTCCATGAGATAAATACTTGAAATATTAATGAGCAACGTGCGAGCAGGTTTTATTAATTTATAGAAGGTGAAAATAATATATAAACCAATGTTGGTGATAAGCTGATCACAAATACATGTCTATATACATTCAGATACCGATCAAATTGTCTTTCTCATCATAAAATGTTTGGTGATAATGAATTTGGTTGGTGAAAGTTTGAAGGTTGAACTACACAAATATATTATACACATATATGCTTAATTAAAATTGTCCAAATGCATAAGAATATAGAAGAAAACAATAAACAAGGGTGCTAAAATATTTGATGCTCTGTATACCAAGTAAAGTATTACACTTATTAGGAATATTAATTTAACCTGTTCAGATAAAAACGAGTTACGAATTTGACGAAGGTGAAACAGCTTTTGGACCTCATTTTTAAACATGTGAATACACAAAGAGTGAACATGACACGGGTTGGCGCCAATTTGCTTGTGGACTGTGTTTCTATTTTCACACCATCAAAAGATCAGAAGAAATTATTGAAATTAAAACTAACTTTCTGATAATTAAAAGTGATGATGCGGTTAATTAAAGCGAATTGCAACAAGTGACGAGAAACTTTTACGATATTAGAAAGCATTTTTTAAACTCCCATTTTTTTAATTTTATAAAAAAGATGGTTTGTTTGATTAAAAAGTTAATTTATTGATGTTTGAGAGTTGGAAAACGCACATTGATGCTGCAACTGTGTGATAAATGGCACCCTAAACGGCATAAGCAAAACTTCGGATCTGTGCATACTTAATTCCTATAGAAATTAAACCCTGTATGTGTAATATTAGTGGGATTTGATCTAATATTATTCTCGTTTCAATCAAATTCTTCAAGATCCTCGTCTGAAAGCAAAGTGTTACAAAAAAATGTACCTGTTACAGATGGTTGAATTTTTAAATTAATTTCTAGGGTAAGGGTGGGCAAAAGATGAAATATTGTTGTCACATTCCCCACTCTTCATGTGTGTTTGGACTTATCAAATCTCAATTTTTATTTTTATTTTATTTTTATTGTTTTTTTATTTTTTATTTTTACCCCCACAAAATTCAGGTATGTGGAGTCTCCATAGATTACCCTCTAAATTCATTAATTATCGTGGAGAGTATATTATATATAAATGAAATCAACATAAAAGTTAACTAGTTAGTTCTTGATGGTAGGTGTAACGGGTAGGTGCTTGCCCATTTACCCAAAAGCTCGAACTATTGGGTAGTACTGCATACCCACCCATTTATACACACTTCAACCCCCATCCAAATCCGATGTGGGACAAGTTTCACTTGTAACATTCTCCCCCACCCGAACCCACGCAACGCCCTCGTTACGGTCGGACCACCCTGCCTACCCGGAGGTAGACCCGGACGCTTGGCGTGACATAGGATTAAGGATTGGGTCTGGCTCTGATACCAACTGTAACGGGTGGGTGCTTACCCATTTACCCAAAAGCTCGAACTATTGGGTAGTGCTGCATACCCACCCATTTATACACACTTCAACCCCCATCCAAATCCAATGTGGGACAAGTTTCACTTGTAACAGTAGGCTTGTGGATTAGATCTTCGATTCAATGGTTCACTTTCCAGCCCAAAGGAATTTTTTTTTTTTTGAATTCCACTATTATGACATAGCACAAAAAAAATTCAAATTGTTAAGTAATACTGCATACCCATTCATTTGTACTCATGTCACTTCCCATCCGGATCCGATGTGGAATAAGTCTCTCCTTGTAACATTTTCCCCCACCCGAACTGCAACGCCCTCGTTGGAGTCAGGTCACCTTGCCTACCCGAGTGGCTTACCCAGACGCCTTTCAGACTAGGCACTTGGCGTGGTACTGGATCAAGGACTGAATCTAACTCTGATATAAATTGTAACGAGTGGGCGCTTACCCATTTACTCAAAAGCTCAAGCTGTTGGGTAGTACTGCATACCCACCTATTTATACCTATGTCACTTCCCATCCGAATCCGATGTGGGACAAGTGTCACGACAGAGTTCTGACGGCGCTTAGAGTAAGGAAGACACGCATGCTGGTTGATGAAGGGCAAAGTTTAACTAAAATGGTTCCAGGGAAGGGGCATGCAGGACAAGACGATGGTACTTCTTCAGAGTTCAGGCAGGTCAACTCGGTTCAGTTCGAGGAGCTTGTCGCTAATCGTAGACTTGACTATGAAGAAGGGAGTTGGCCATCCCTGCACAAACTAGTCAGGAGTTGGCCATCCCTACACAAACTAGTCAGGAGCTAGAGCCATTCCCCTAATGAGGCCAAGGCAGGCCGAAACCAGTTAACATGTGTCCTTGAGATGGCAAGTCGTGGTAGCCGACTAGGGTGCTTGTGAGAGTAGAAACAACGCCTTGGTACCGCACGGGCCGTGCCCTATGCCAAATCTCTAGGCCCGTGACAGATGATATCAGAGTAGGACTTGGGGTAAACACAGAGGTGTGTCGAGAATGAAGGTGGTGCATTGTTGCATCGACGTAGATGGAATAAATGCAGTTTGAGGGGGGCCTCCATTTCCCCAAGAAGAAGCGTCATTTGAAGTTGCGCACTGAAAGGTCGGAGGGCCGCGCGCACCAAAGTTCTTGTGAGTTTAAGGGTGATGCAAACCGATGAAGAGCCTTTAATTACTCGGGATGTCACGGAGGCGGCATAATGCGGAGTTGTGTCTCAAAGAAGGGGGACGTCCTTTTGGCCCGAGACCCTATCCATTGGGCGAGTGCAGTGCAGAGGGCTGCACAAGGAAGCGATGGTGGGCATGAGAGCATACCGCTTAGAGCAAGGCAGACTTTGGAAGGTAAGACGTAGTGGAGTTAGCGCCACGACAAGGGTGTCGCAAATTTAGGTGGGGGAGAGTGTCATAGACGGAAACCTGACGACGCTTAGAGTAAGGAAGACACGCATGTTGGTTGGTGAAGGGCAAAATTTGACTGGAATGGTTCCAAGGAAGGGGCGTGCAGGACCACAAGATGGTACCTCTTCAAAGTTCAGGCAGGTCGACTCGGTTTAGTTCGAGGAGTTTGTCGCTAATCGGGACTTGACTATGAAGCAGGGAGTTGGCCATCCCTGCACAAATTGGTCGAGAGTTAGAGTTGTTCCCCTGATAAGGCAAAGGTAGGCCAAAACCAGTCAGCATGTATCCTCGAGATGGCAAGTCATGGTGGCTGACCAGGTCGGTGCTTGTGCGAGTAGAAGCAACGCCTTGGTGCCGCAAGGGTCGTGCCACTGCGCCAAATTTCTGGGCCTGTGACACAAGTCGCTACTTGTAATAGCAAGTCTCTAGAATTCCACATTTTCCTCTCAAACATTGATGCAATTATATAACTATGAAAGCATTAATAGAAATGGTAGGTTGAACTTCACTCAAAAAGTATAATATTGACATGAAATCACAGAATTTTGAGACAACAATTCAAATACCGAACGATTTTGTTCTTACCAAAACACGTTGTATCATGGAGAGTATCTATCCTACATATATAGCATTTTACCTTTCTACGTCGAACCAATATAGGCTCATGTACTCGTAGCATACCCACAAGGTCGCCACAACAGAAGAAAGAACTCCAACTACAAAAGGGCCTCTATAACTTAATGGTATGATCTCCCTTTCTCAAAGAGAGGGATTGAGAGTTCGAGTTTTATTCTGGACAATTTGAACAATGAGTAGGGATTTATTTTAACTTTAAATAAATAAATAAACTTTAGAATGATAATCGCACTTAAATGCATCAGTGATACAACAATTGCTCAAAAAGCATCAGCTAAAATTGAACAAGTCTACATCTTCATAATACAATACTCTACCTTTTGTGATTTCGTAGGGAACTGTGTAGGAATATAAAAGTCCATTAAACAAATCTAATGCGTAGTGAGGTGACACAGAGATTATATAATTTGATACACTAAAAAGCTCTACTTATGTGCCACCATTGTTCCATTAATCATCTCCATCTTGGATGATGTGTGAATGGCCCTTGGCAGCTTCCTTTCGTGTTAATTTAAGCAATTATTTATTAATCTAAACAAAACTTCATCTCTTTTTTATTTTAATATCATATCATATCTTTCATTTAATTTAATTCGCAGTCACAAATAATTCGAGGTCCCATTTTGGTTATATGATTTCAGTGCCAACTGCAATATTCAGCCAACAACTTGCATGTCCTTTCTATAACTACCAATACAGATAATTCATTCAAGGATCAGACCCTCGCATATTCCATGGTATAATACAACATTATATATTTATATTTATCTGCATTTTATCATTAAACACTAAATTTATTTTATAAATTTATGTTGCTAACCAAGGTTTCATTGGTTCCAAAAAGAAGGGATACAGTCTTAGAGAACATGCATATCTTTAATTTGTCTGAGAGCATTCACGTGTATACAATACAAAAACTATATATACATATAACCAAATCATTCAAAGAAAGGGGACGGTATATGAATTAATCGTATTGGCCTTATCCACATTCTTGGTGGTCTAGAGGGAATCATTTAGGATAGGTTTTCCCTTCCCAAATAGAGGACAACAGACTCGACTATTTGCCGCTATATATATATGTGTGTGCGTGTGTGTGTGTGTGTGAGAGAGAGAGAGAGAGAGAAATGAGAATGCACACATAAATACACACTTGTATTATTATCTTGAAGGTAAAAAAAATCTGTTAACAATATACATATATAACATAGACTATTATCTTACATATCTAGATCAGAATCCATGACCAGATTTTGTCCTTGGTTTCTAGCTCATAAATGTTGGAAACGCCAAACTCATTCTAATATCACAACAAAAGTAAGTACAAAGAGAAGCACAATCAAAGAAATAGAATTGTTATGTCACTAACATAAGCCGTTAAACATACTCGCGGGCACCCCTTGGTTTTTTTGTTTTTTTAACTTTCTGGTCTATTTTCTAGACCGCGCGCTTGCACCACCTTTGGTAGTACAAGAAAGTTTGTCGATGGACACGACAATGTGGATTGATAGCATATGGTAATGATAGTGGGATGGAGGAGGATGTTTTTATAGCAGCAATGCTGTAGAGGACATCGGGCTGCAGGCATTGGTGTGGTGAATTTACCTAGATCCAGTGCTCATAAATGAATATTAGGCCAGGAGATGTTGATGAAGACACTTTTCAGAAAGGTGATTTCTTCCACTGATAAAAACTCAAACAGATAACATGAAAAACCAAGACTATCCCATGCCAGTGAGTACGAAGGTTTCGTATTAGTAATCTATTAAGTTCATATATTTTGGCTTGGAGAGGGAAAAAGGGTAATTAAATTAAGCTAGCTAGGAATCAAAACAGAAATGGAAGAGGCATATTATTGATGATGCCATTTGAGGAAAATGAAATAAAATTTGTAGCTGTTGAAATAGTTTACTCAGTTAACTGCCAAAAAAAAAGTTCAATATGATTTATATTACATGAACAGAAGGTGAGCAAATTAAATATCAATAGCTCCTATCTGTACAGCATTAAGGAATAAGGATAATAAGATAGAGCCAAATCAAAATTTTAATGGAATATATGTTTTAACTAAAAGAGTCTACAGCTGTACTATGTTGAAGTTAAATCAAACAGACATAACACTGGAGAAATAGAAAAACACATGAAAGACAGAATTAATGCATCTTGTCTCAGTCAATAATCCTAACATGAAATAATTTTCCCATGTACAAGAACAGTCACTACACTATCTTAATTACTATCTGGAATGCAAGTAAGGAAGACTTACACAAATATAGACAACAAGCTTCCCAAGAGTAGAAAGTAGTCCCCACAAGCACCACAAGTTCACACTTCAAAATCCAACTCAAAGCCCCATTCTAGTTTGAAAACAAAAACATCAGAGAAACAAAAATTAAAAAGGGGATCTAACTTGAAGTCCGGATGATTAAGTCGGTCAACTTCTGTTGCAGCTCAGATGGATCGATGCTTCTCCCATCATTCACCTGTGCACAAAATTATGAATAACATAGTGTTGTTGCAAGAAAACGTGCAATTAGAGAAGAAGAAAAAAACACCATGTAAAAGCCACAAAACTGATGTTCAAAATAAGGCTTAATGATTAGCAGTACCTCAGATTCAACTGTGTGGAGTAATCTTTCATTTACTTTAGTAGAAATGCAGCTAACAACAGTCAGCCCTTCTTGGATTAGAACGTCAAGCACTTCGGAAAGAGGTAGCCCTTTTCTCAAGGCAGTGCATACAACAACCTCCATCCCTGCCCTACAAGTATTAACTTCTACACTATCTTGGGGACGAGCACTTTGTGAACATTCTGATGCAACATTTAGATTCTCTGCTGGATTGGGCAATCTTCTAAGCTCATCTCTCTTGTCATTCAACTCTTCGATTCTCTTCTGCAGATGTTTTATATAATTCACAGTCTCATGCATATGATCAGATATAGACCTTGCGCGCTTTCCCTGAAGTTAACCCATCAACGCATTAAGTCCTAATGATAAAGCAGGACAAAATCCATTAGAAACTATAAAAAAGAAGTCACTTAACCTTTAGATACTCGGGAGGGACTCGTGATCTTAGAGACCTGTAAAGGGTAGCCATTTCTTGCCTCCTTTGTCTTTCGACGTTTCTATGTATGATCTTCTTCTTCTTATAGTGATCATTAGAAAGTTCATTGATGTCACCAAAAGTCATGACTGAGGACTTTCTCCGCCGGCTACAATCTGGCTTGTTGGCTAGGTCACCATCATATAGAGAAGGGGTCACCAGGACATCTTGTTGGATTGTGTGTTGCTGGCAGGGAATAGCAGAGAAATGCAACAGCTCATCAATTTGGTCAAATGGAAACACTGGAGGAATATAATCCATACTATAACCTAAAACCACTCTTTTGCTTTCCTTCTTTTTCTCTTCCTCGCTCTTCTTCATAAGGTAGAAGTAGATATATAGCTAAGGTCTGTTTATTTGAGCATGAAATGTTTGATGAGCCCTGTGTTTCAAATTTATTTTATTTTTAGACCTAATGACAAGAGTCCTTCCAAGCTTGTTTTAAGGCACTGTACATTTTGAGGCAATAAATTAATGTCTTACATTCACATATAACTATCATAAGCTGAGATGGACCTGGAGCTACTCATAGAGTGGTCCTAAATTATGTAAGGTCCCATAATGAATATTATTACAAAGAAACCTTTCGCAAAAAGGACAAGTTTCTTACCATTTGATCTGCCGAGGTCAAGATCACCACAATCTCAAATATGTGGTCATTACTCTTACCTTGATAGCAATCACTGATCAAATCAAATGGGCTGGAAATATAAGACGACTATCGTCATCATCATAATCATAGTGGTATGGTATTTTTTTGCCTTACATTTTGTAGTATTATTGGTGGAGGATATATATATATATATATATATATATATATATATATATATATATATATATTATACAGAGTAATCTCAAGAATATCATACAGGGAATATATAGCACTTATTTAAGAAACCTTCCACAAATTGCATTTACTGAGAAAAAAAAATAACCATCCTTAAATTAGAAATTTAGTCTCCTGCAGGTACAATTCAAACAATAAAAGACAAATAACCATTTCTTAAAAGTTTCTTGCATATGAAGAGATAAACTGTCTGATTGTTTCCTAATATTAATCGTTATTGTGAAGAAAAATATTAGGTGTAACAAATTGATCATGCAGATATGGGCCCCAGATCTATAATTATTGAATGTGAACCTAGAGAGAAGTGTGACCTTATTGAAAAAAATCATTGATTCAATTACTTAGATGATGAGTTGAGCACAATATGTTCTTAATTTTGGATTTCTTAGTGGCTGATATAGATGTTAAAGGCGCGCCTAGACTTCAAAAAAGTCCAAGGCTCTTCAAGGCTCAGTTAGAGCGTTTCAACCGTATACAGGTCGGGCCCCTTCAATCAGACTCACATAAAAACCTTAGGCTCACAATTTTTAGTAGGCTCCAGGCTCAAAAAAGGCAAGTCTTGTATTTTCTAATCATTTATTCGTATCAATTTCCTTTTTCACTTAATGACTACTAAATTAAAAGGTTCTATAGCATAAATCATATTGTTTAACCTTGTGAAATATTTGACAAAATTCATAAATTTATTGTTCACTACTAACATTAATTACAATTATTGCTTGATTATGAATATATATAATAATAATATAATGTTAAATATGCATTATTAGATACACGCGCCTTACTTCAATCAGGCTTGCACCTTATACTGCGCCTTGCGCTTAGACTCCAAAAGGCCTTTGGCGCCTTAGTGTGCCTCGAGCCTTTAAAAAATATGGGCAAACTCCAACGTATTATGTTTTTCAAATATAACCAACACCGTATTTGTTTCCAACCATGAGTGCTTTAAACAAGCATTCTTTTCACTAAGAAATCAAAATTAGATACAACCGGCATATCAGTCACAATATATTTTCCCTTTTGTTTATGGTTTGTGTAATCGTTTCACACTAAGCTGACAAGGATTGAACTAGCAAGAAACTAGTAAGGATCAAATGCAATACATGACTGTGAATCTGCTCCATGTAATCAATATGTGATTGATGCAAAATAATAACAAACGTTAGGTGTTTCCGAAACCTTTTGTTTAGTTTTGTTTTCTTGGTCAACCATATGAGTACTAGCAAGTTGCAAAAATTTATATTAGGAATTTAGGAATGATATCTCACTAAAGATTAACGTGCATGTATTGATCTTAAGTTATACTGGCTTTATAAATTAGCTCATTAAAAATTGATTACTTCAAGATTAACAAGTAAATAAATTAATAGAGATAGGCTATCTTTTAGCTATGGTTGATTGTTTGTTCTTGATTAAGACACTAAACTGACATAACAACAGTGTCCATGTGTTCCAAAAAAAAAAAAAAAAGGCTGTACAAATGAGAGTGCACAAAGGTTAAATGAAGAATCAACAAATAAATTTAACGCCTTGGCTTTTAATTTACCAAGATGCATGCAACTACATGTAGTATTATTTACCGGGGGGAAAAAATACAGGTGGTATACATTATCACTATTGTCATTATATGCTGTCAGAGAGTCCATATAGACTTTACTCCAAATAATAATAAAGGAAATAGTAGAACATATGCATATTTAACTGAACTATAAATTTGAAAAATCTGCTACAGCTCTCGCACATCTGCTGTTATAGTAGGGGAAGTTTTTGTGTACATTTATGAAATTTCGAAATCAAGAGAGAAAGTGTTCACAATGAAATCCTCTATAGAGTAAACAGAAACCTATGTAGATTTCCACTTTAATTTCATTTTTAATCCATAAAACATCACTTTCCTTGTGTTTCAAGACTTATTTTGTAACATCAAGTTCAATATATTCAACATGGGAGGGATTGGCTCAAAGAATATCATCATGTGCACTAAACATCTCGTCAATTGGGTTGATTGGTCTAGTAATTAATTTGATTCGAATCCCAATTTTTAGACTGCAAGAAATCTTTGAATATATAATTGAAAGGCATGGTTCAAGCTCATCCTGTCTAACTGATTCTTGAACAGAGTATTGCAAAAAGACCTAATTCATAGTGTGAATACTAGAATTATTAAGTGCACATTGATACACAGACCAGTCAGGGACTAAAGAGCCAATTCCTTCCATTTATTTTTTTATTTTTTTATTTTCTATGTTCTTTTTTACTTCTCGTCCTCTTCGGTTGATTGATTTACTGAAGACAAGAGGGAAGATCAAAGCATGCACATGTATGCCATCTTGGCTGCAATTGCATGATAAAATTATACTTCTTTAGGTGTACATTTTTGGCATAATTAATAATCTTTAGGTGTATGTTTTAAATTAGAATCTTTACAATCTCAAAGCGCAGTCATTAGAAAAAGACAAGTGTTCAATGTTTTGGTTTGGATGATTTTTGTAAAAGTTTATACTCTGCTAGCCAATGAGAGGTCGACAAGCAATTAGAGTGAGAGGTGGGGTTGATGTTGAATCCTGTAACAATGCCTGTGGAGTGTTCTTTTATAATAGTATGTAGGGTATATTGCTAGCGAATGATTATCAATTTCTTATTAAAGATGTTAATCAACAACAATGAGATGGGTTCCCCACGTGTGGAGAGCATATTTCTAATAAAAACATGCTAAGATACACCAAATCTTTTGTGTTCCGTTGACGAAGTCATGTTTTAATATAGTTTCATGCACTCGTGGGCAAAATAATTCTCCTGTGACTGATTAGAAGTACTCCATCCTTCATTCAAAAACCAATGTATGGATTTGGATTAGCAAATCATGCCAAAAGTTTTCTTTCTTTATTTTTTTTTTAATTTTTAGATATGAACAATTCTACAAAGATTAAGAGGTGAATGCCCCCTATATACAATCAACATCAAAATCAAAGGGGAGAAAAAAAAAAAAAAAAAAAAAAAAAAAATTGAGGACCAAAGAGCAGCAAACTATATATTTGAATATAGCATTAGATAGAAAACTTACAATGTTAAGAAACAGTTTGCATAATATCCTTTTGAAAAGAGACCACATCCTTAAAAGGGTTAGAATATATAGAATCTGGAGTTCCTCTCCACCCAAATGTAATAAGTAACCAGCAGCCAGCAGAGTCTTGTAATGTTCAGTTGACATTTGAGAGAGTTGATTGTTGTTGAGGATAACAGTTGCCCAAGCAATCAAACATTGATCCACCCAAAGAGTCCCAAATTCTGCAAGTAACGGGACAATTGAAGAAAATTAGGTACTAAATTAAGAGTTTCAATTTGTCTTAATGCTACTCAAAACACACACACACACAAGCAGCTTTTTGAATAAATATCCATGTTTATCATAATTTCCAAAGTCCATAAATAAATCCTTTGAACCTAATTATGTGGTGTGAATCAATCTTGCTGCTGGAAGGTCTAGAGGTGTTGATGCTTTCTTGATGGGGAAGGGTTTTATGGAAGGGAAATGATCTAGAGTCCAACAATGTGAAAGATCCAAAGGACCACTATGGAGTGGGGGCATGGCCCACCTTCAATACTTTCTCCATATGATTAGTCAGAGTTTTTTTTTTTTTTTTTTTTTTTTTTCGCTAAAGATGATTAGTCAGAGTTGTATCATCTTCTGTGGTTATTTTGTTAATAGCACTCCAAGAAAAAATTAGCGTTGAACGTAAACCCGTTCGGGGTAGGGTAGGGGTAGGGGTACTGGGGTAGGGGTGTATTGGGTGTAATTGATTGCTTGCCTCCCCCAAACGCAGCCTTCTGACCCAAAAGCATTTTTGGGCCAAAATCCATAGTGTCTGATCCAGTTAATCTCACCTATTTCACCCGGCGTCACTTCAAGGGTCACGGTCTTCACTAACTAAACAGGGTACTGATCACAACATAGCGTTGTGAGTTCGAATAAAAAAAACATGGAAGAACTCCATCCTACGTGGACATAGAAATTGAAATTAACGGATTATAGATGAGGATGTACCACCATCCAAACATTTTAAGCGATCGAAAAACAAATACCCAATCGTTACACTAATTCTCAAATTACTAATAATAAATAGTGTTATTATAAATAGTAATTTCAATGACAAACTATAACTTTGTAATATATATATACACACACACATTTTCATATATTAACACAAATCACTTATGGATGAGTATGTAGCTCAACATTTTAAGTCATCAAAAAACACACACCCAAATGTTGCACTAATTCTCAAAATATTAACAATAAATAGTGTTTTGTCATAAATAGTAATTTCAATGGCAAACTATAACTTCATAATTATATATATATATATATATATACACACACACACACACACATTTTCATATATTAACACAAACCACTTATTTTGGGTAAAAGTTGAAATTATTAACAATTCTAAGGCATAATTTTCTTTTCAAGAACTAGTAAATTATAAATTCTTATTTTTTTTTCTTTAATCATAAATAAAGTTCGGTCGAATTCTTTTATC